AGGAACTTTAAACAAGTTCATTGAGAAGATATTTTTATTATAAATGAATTTGGGGGAAACAGGCCTTACTGAAGAAAAGCAGAATGCAACTCCTGTCAGGAACGTTTCTGGGTTTATGGTTTGGGACTTCAGTGAGGTGACAGGATGCTCCCTTGAGCAGGTCTGAAGATGCTTCACAGCTTTCCTACACGGTCCACATAAAGATCTACACACAGATTTATCGCTACGTTAATTGATCCTGAGTCAGGCTTAGGAGCTGCTAGTACTCGAACCCACCACATTGTAGGTTTTGAGGAAATTCTAATATTTGTCACAGACATATTTTCTGGAAGCTCCTTTTCTCTTGGCCTTTTCAAGTTTTTGTGTTCCTTTGTTTTCATCTGTGGAATCTGAGTTTTATTTAAAATTCCAGATGGCTGACTGTCCTTAGTTGAGTGTTTATTCTTTTTTTTCCCACTTTTTTTTTTTTCAAGTGGCTGTTCTCACATCAATGCCATATTTTGCTTTTTTTTTTTTTTTTTTTTTTTTTTTTTTTCCTTGCGTTATGCGGGCCTCTCACTGTTGTGGCCTCTCCCATTTGCGGAGCACAGGCTCCGGACGCGCAGGCTCAGCGGCCATGGCTCACGGGCCCAGCCGCTCCGCGGCATGTGGGATCCTCCCGAAACGGGGCACGAACCCGCGTCTCCTGCATCGGCAGGCGGACTCTCAAGCACTGCGCCACCAGGGAAGCCCCATATTTTGCTTTTTTAAATGTAGTTTTAAAAATTAATGATATATTATATGTATATAGTAAAATGAGCAGCTGTTGTACCTAATTGTAACATGTGAATAATAAACATTCTCACCGTTTGTCTATTCAGCCTAAATATTATTTCTTGCAGTGCAGTAAAATCTCCTTGGAAGCTTTGTCATTGTCATTTTGCTTTAAGTTAACGCTTGCCTATTTTAGGTTCCCTGTGATTTTTTTATCTCAGCTACCCCTGGTCCCCAGGAAATTTCTAAAAAATTTTTCAAGGCTGATTTTATCTGTATAGATTTTACCTGTATATTTTTAAGTTTCAACCAAAAAGTTGAAATGAAAGTAAGTTTAGCTGTCACCCCAGATACCATCAGGCATTTTTAAAAGGTCTATTATTATGTTTGAAGAGAAACTAAAGTATCTTATTACAGGAGAAAGCAAAGAGCATTTTTCTGGGTCTCTAGAGATGGCATTTCCTGTCTCTCCTCTGATAGGAGAAAAGAGCTGTGATGACTTCACTCCGTGGCTCCAAAAGAAGTGCTTATTATCTTTTTCTAGAGAACAATTCCTCTTTATTTAGAGCTTGGAGACACACTTTTTAGATCCACACTTGCTATCTGCCCATCGAAGAAATGTTTGACCATTGTTTGTTAATAAACAACAAACACATCTGGCAAGCTTGTTTGTTTGTTTAACTTTGTAACTGTTAAGATAGCTTTTCCGATTAAAGGAGGGAAGATGGAGCTGGTTACAAAGGGCCGTTGCTATTTAGGTCATGGGATGCTTAGAACTGTCAGAAGGGCTTTTGTTCCATCCATTAGTTTCCTAAGGGATCAGGCAGCACAAGGTTGTTTTTGTGTGTTGTAGGCAAATCCATTTGGAGGAACACATACTAGGCAAGAAAGACTGGAAGGAAAATCAGTGACATCTAGATTTTTTTTCTTAAGCTACATGAAATGCAATTACAGGTGTAGTTCTCAGATAATTGTTTCGGTCCCACCGAATTGTGGTGTCATGGGGTGTGCTGTGACAGGAGTCCTTCCTGGCAAAAAGCTCACCAGTAACATCATGCAAGGTCCACACCGTGCTTGAAAAATAAATTCATATTTATTTTTGAACCTTGGAATGAAGAAGTGACAAGAGAGTTTACTATGCAGTAGATTTTCAATAAAAATCATCCTTCGTGCTTCCAAAAACATGACCTTTTTGGGAACACTATTGTCTTCAGAGAAGATTCCTTTGCTAGTAAAGCCCAGTCCACTTTTCCTGTGCCGTGTCCATCACTTCTCCATGTTCTTTGTGTGCGTTTCCTCTCCATCAGGACGGCCCTGGCTGTGAGGGAGCTTTCGTTTTGTGAAAACATTCATTTCTGTGTTGCTGTCGAGTTAGAGCGGAAGCTTAGAGCCCAGCTCTGAATTGGGTGCCAAGCTTTTCTTTTTCTTTTTGTGTCTGTATTTGAATCTCGAAGTAAGATTTGGGGGAATGGAGGTATCTTTTCTGCAAACTGCAGAACACAGGAGACCTGCTTAGGAAATGGGGCTGGTCCTCTGGACTGTTTGGGACAATGACGAGGGACTCTCAGGGCTGAGGGGCACAGCTGAGCCTTGGTCTCCCTCTGGAGCCTCCTGCCCCCCTACCTCCCCAGGCCCTCCCTCCCTCCTTCCTTCCATCCTTCTTTAAAACGATACATGTGGCTTTCAGAAAATCTGTACTTCCTCCAAAGCTCCCTAACTCTGCTCTCAGCTTACCTTACTCCTCCCGAAGCCCAATCCTTTCTTGCTTGTTGTTTATTCCTACCTTCGACTCCATCTCTTTTCGGTCCTATCCCTGTGTCTATTATGAGACTTGAAAAATGAAGCCCCATGGGGCTCCTCTAGACCAAAAAATTGCTAGATGGATAAACCTTGCTGTCAAGAGGTGCTTAAAATGGTGAAACATGACCTCAGAAGAGAGACAAGAAAACATTCCCTTATAAAGGAGCACTGTTCTTAAAAAAAAAAAAACACCTGATTTTGTCTCCTCCTCCCTGGCCTCCCAGGAGTCAGCTACCTTTTGTGACTCGGCTAAGCCATAGGCGCTGACGATTGAGAGAGAAGGCTCTGAGGGTGTACCGAGGGGACCTGTCCGTGCCTGTCCCCCTTTCACCGTGCCTTTTCTACAGCACACCCTTCCCAGCCGTGCTTACCTCGGCGGCCAGAAAACAGACAGCACATTCAAGCCTAGTCATTGAGGGAAGGCCATTTATTAAAAGGAGCATTTACCACTTGTGGAAAGGGCTCAGGAAAAGCAGTGAGGGATGGAGCGGTACCCCCAGGCTAATCATGGTGGGGAGCTGCCGTGGCCCTGGGTCTCAAAGGACAAGGCAGCCTTGAAGGAACTTCAGAGATCAGCTGCAGGGGTGCTGCCTGACCGGAGCTGTGGCCTTTGGTCAAAGGACCTGGCCAGCCCCTGGCATCCTAGCGAGGGAAAGCTGCAGATAGAAATTCACGCCCTCTGATATGCCAGAACCCTTTCCGTGGCAAATCTAACAGAACCAGAGGGCAAGGGCTTCTGTTCACGTAGTCCATGCAAGTCTGAACAACCTTGGAATCACTCGGACCCCTCCGTATCTCACAGCCCACATCTGATCTGATTCGCCAGCAAATCCTAGTTGTTTTCCTGATCAAAGGACACCCAGAATCTGAGCCTCTGTCACCACCTGCACTGCTACCCCATGGTCCAAATCTCCATCATTTCCAGGGTTGGAGAGAGACTCCCACCTGGAACCTTCCTTTACAGCATCTACAGATCCCCCGCTCATTCATACAAAAAGCTTACGAGGGCTTCCCTGGTGTCGCAGTGGTTGAGAGTCCGCCTGCCGATGTAGGGGACGCGGGTTCGTGCCCCGGTCTGGGAGGATCCCACATGCCGCGGAGCGGCTGGGCCCGTGAGCCTTGGCCACTGAGCCTGCGCGTCCGGAGCCTGTGCTCCGCAACGGGAGAGGCCACAACAGTGAGAGGCCTGTGTACAGAAAAAAACAAACAAACAAAACTTATGAGACCCTGCACAGGCTGCCCCTTTCTTCTCTGACCCCATCTCCTCATTCTTGAGGCTCACTTTGGTCTGGCCCTCTGGTGTCCTTGATGGTCAACACCAAGCACATACCTGCCTCAGGGCCTTTGCAGATGGCAGGGAGATGAATTTTAAGTTTTAAGAAAATCTAAGTAATGGAAACATCTATCCACACAAAACTTATACAAATGTTTGCAGCTCCATTATTCATAATAGCCCCAAACTGGGAACAACCAAATGCCCATTAGCTGGTGAATGAACCAACAAAATGTGGTGTAGTCACCCAAAGAAATGTCACGCCGCAATAAAAAGGAATAAAGTACTGATACATGTGGTCACGTGGATAAACCTTGAAAACATTAGGCTAAGTGAACATTATGAAATAATGAAGGCATGATGTCAGTCACAAAAGACATCATATTGTACGATTGCATTCATATGAAACTTCCAGAATAAGCAAATCTATATAGACAGGAAGTGGTGTGGTGGTTGCCTAGGGCAGGGGAGGATGGCGGGTGACAGCTAAGAGGTACAGCGTTTTTTGGGGGGGTGATAAAAATGTTCTAAAATTGACGGGTGAGGGTTGCCTATTTTGTGACTATACTAAAATCCATTGAATTGAACAATGTCAATGGGTGAATCTTTTGGTATATGAATTACATCTCAAAGCAATTAAAAATAAAGATCAAAGTGATTGCCGTCTTAATAAAGCATTCCTGTCATTTTTACAAGTGGTGTATGTAAGTCTTAGCATTCAGTATTATTATAGCTAAAGTTTGAAAGTCAACTCTTGACTATTACTGTTTTCATTTCCCGTTTATTTTTTAACTCTTAAATTTCTCTGGCATGCACATGCTAGATATTCAATATTTAAATAGCAGTGAAATTGGGCTTCCCTGGTGGCGCAGTGGTTGAGAGTCCGCCTGCTGATGCAGCGGACACGGGTTCGTGCCCCGGTCCGGGAAGATCCCACATGCCGCGGAGCGGCTGGGCCCGTGAGCCATGGCCGCTGAGCCTGCGCGTCCGGAGCCTGTGCTCCGCAGCGGGAAAGGCCACAGCAGTGAGAGGCCCGCGTACCGCAAAAGAAAAAAAATAATAATAATAATAATAATTATAAATAAATAAATAAATATCATTGAAGTGGATGAATTTTTCTTTTCTCAATATGAGAAAGAGGGGGTACTAATTATGGGTGTGTTCCCCCCTCCAGCACTTTCATGACGGACGGAAGGCACAGCAGCACATAGAGACTTGCTGGAAGCAACTAGAATCAGTAAGTGAAAACCCAACCTCTCAAGAAATGTCTTTATAGATTTTCTCGTTTGAATTTAACTTACGCTTGAATCAACCAGTAAGTACAAAACAAACAGAGACACTATTTATTGTCTTTAGAGATTTTTATAATTTGAATTTAACTGGTTTCTAGAAATCATTACTGAAAGTAAAATGTTAAGCCCAAAAGAGTTCAAGCAGAGTCTTTTTCTAAAAATCATATGGAAAGAACAAAGATTAGACAGTTTGGATGGAAATAAATGTGGATTTTAAAATAACTTACTGAAATGATGACATGGAACAAATCAGTTTGGAGAAGAAAGCTTTCGGTGGAGGGGGGGCGGGTGGATGTCGATAAAATTACATCTTCTCATAAGAATCTCATGGTTTCATTAAAAATTACTTTCCCCACAACCATCTTCCTCTGCTTTTAGAGTAAAAGACGTTTTGAGCGGGATTGCAAAGAGGCTGACCGAGCCCAGCAGTACTTTGAGAAAATGGATGCTGACATAAATGTTACAAAAGCAGATGTTGAAAAGGTAAGGTGAAGGTGAGGGTCTTTCTTTCACTTCCCTTTTTAACGTTCATCACTTATCCTCCCAGACTGCTGGTCCCCAAGTTCTCCTTTCTGCTGCAACCACAAAAGGCCACTTTACTTGGGATCATTTTCGTTTTGTGTCAACGGAGGGATGTTGGCGGTGGGGTGGCAGGGGGAGAATCTAAAATTTGGGGAGTATTCGGTGTTATGATTTGAGCAGTTTGTTGATTTATTTAGTCATCAGGATGATAACACGGAGACTTAGACCATGAACATACCTTAGGGGGTGGTTTCCGCAGACCGTGGTTCTCTCTTAATGGCTTTTCAAAGAAAAAGTCAACCTCTTAAAAGCTGGAGCAGACTGTCCAGTGCCATCTGGAAGAGCTCTGTGGCTTACAGTGCTTCTGTTAAAAAGGTAAAGAGATTCACAGGAGTGGCCTGTGTTCTAATGGATTCATTCAGGTTGATAACAGGTTGTACTTGAAGGCTTGCATTGGAAAGTCCTCCCAAAAGCTTTTCCCGAAATGGACTTGTATTGGCAATTAAGAATATTATTATAAAGCTTGTACTGTGTCTTCCTGTGGTTCCCTCTGTGTTTTTTCCCTGGAAGTTAAAGTTTCTTTTTATAAAAGTCATCAATGTTAGTGTAAACAAAACTAGGCTGTTAAATAACAGTATTCATTCGTGACTGCCCAGGGCTATTTTGGCATTCACAGACTCATGCTTTAAGTGGGGAAAAACCCTGCTTTTTCGTAGATTTCTTTCACTTTTGCCAGATTATTTGGAGTTGAATTTGCTCAGAAAATAGTGTGAATTAGTTATTCATTGCCCAATTCTGCCAAATTCCTTGCTTAAAGCCTAGGTATACATTAGCATGCCTTCCTCTAAAATTATCTAATGTATTAGAAAACACATTCTTAATGTCTATATTTGATCTTGAGTGGAGATATTTACTTTACCAAAAGATATATTAATTTGCTGGTAAAGTTACCTGTAAATTACCATAAATTTGTTATAAGTTCTCATAAAATATTAATTCCCTGAAGTATTTAATATGTTATTCCATTAAAATAGATTGACTCAAAGTTTATCAAAAAAACATATGGGGTTAAAGGAGGTAAAATCAGTATATGTGTCCCAGAAACATGCCTGGCACAAAGGTATGCATTCTGTAGCAAATATTTTATTACCCTAAATGTAAAATTGGAGTGATTTTTATTTATTGAAAGACTTTTTAAAAGGCATTACTATTATGACCTTGTCTTAGAAAAAAAGCTATCTATCCTTGCTCATTGTAGAAATACCTGAAAATACAACCAAATGAAGTGGGAGAAAAAAATTTTTAAAAATTAAAACATCCAACTATGGTTTCAGAGCCTCCACCATTCCTTCCTGGTCTCTAAACAAAGGTACTTTACTTTTTTTTTTTTTTTTTTTTTTTTGGCCGCGCCGCATGACTTACGAGATCTTAGTTCCCTGACCAGGGATCGAACCCGTGCCCCCTGAAGTGGAAGCACAGAGTCCTAACCACTAGACCGCCAGGGAATTCCCTCAGAGCCTTTTCTTTAAAAAAGATTATGTATACTGCACATGTACAGTGTAAAGTATAGTAACAAAGGGAACAGCTGCTAATCCACAACCTATCTTAAGAAACAAAAATCTTATTGTTGCCTTTCAAGTCTCCCTTCCTAACTTCATCCTTCTCTTCACCCTAGAGGTGAACTTTATCCTTAATTTGGTGTTAATCATCTCCTCACTTTTTCATAGCTTTACCGTAGGTGTCTGTATCTCCAAAGAGTTTATTTCATAATTTTGCGCACTTTTCACCTTTATAGAAAGAAAATCATACTTTCATTTCTTTTCTTGTGACTTGACTGTTTTTCATTTGATATTATGTTTTTTACTTAATTCATGTGGACTATAGAACACATAACTTTTATATATTAATTTTAGAGCCAGATGCTTGCTAAGCTCTCTTTTTATTTCTATTTTGGGGTTTTCCGTAGAGACAGTCATAACACCAGCAAATAATGACAGTCTTATTTCTTCTGTTTCAATCTTTATGTCTTTTATTTATTTCTCTTATCTTGCTCTGCTGGTTATGACCTCTATTATCCTGGCAGTAGCAGTTATTGTGGACTTCCTTATCTCGTTCTAGATTATAAAGAGAGTGCTTCAAATGTTTCCCCATTAAGCATGATTATAATATACCCTTTATCGGGCTAAGGGATTTCCCTTCTTTTTCTATTTTGCCAAGAAGTTTTTTTTTAAAGCTTAACTTAATATTGAACATCATCAAATACCTTTTCTGCTTCCTTTAATCCATTAACGGGTAGATTACATTATTAAATTTTCTTGTATTGAACCAAATTAGTGTTCCTTGGACGAATATAACTAGGTTATGATGTATTTTTTTTTATACAGAGCTGAATTAATTTTGTTAACATTTTAAGATTTTGCATCTATAGTCATTGAAACTGATCTGTAATTTTTCTTTCTTGGCTGTTCTAGTTTGCTTTACTTCTTTTTTTTTTTTTTTTTTTTTTTTTTTTCGGTACGCGGGCCTCTCACTGTTGTGGCCTCTCCCGTTGCGGAGCACAGGCTCCAGACGTGCAGGCTCAGCGGCCACAGATCACGGCCGCCGGCCCCAACCTCTCCACGGCATTTGGGATCTTCCCGGACCGGGGCACAAACCCGCGTCCCCTGCATCGGCAGGCGGACTCTCAACCACTGCGCCACCAGGGAAGCCCTGCTTTACATCTTTTTAGTTGTGGAGTGTTGCTCTTTATTCTCTGGATATATATGTGAGATGAAATTAATTGTTCCTTAAATATTTTGTAATCCTTTATTGTGGGAGAGTTTCTAACTACTGATCCAATTCCTCTATTGTCTTTTTCTTTGGTTGATCCTGGTATGTTATATTTTTCTAGAAATATATCCATCTCATCCCAGGTTTTCAAATTTAGGGGCCAAAAGTTGCCCATAATATTCTCTCACCTTCATTTTTTGCTGCATATATTGTGTGTCCCCCTTATTTATTCCTAATATTATTTATTTATACTTTTTGGGGAGGGCCTTTTTTTTTTAATAAATTCTTATTTATTTATTGATTTATTTGGCTGCATTTGGTCTTAAATGTGGCACCTGGGATCATCGTTGTGGCATGCGGGATCTTTCGATGCGGCGCAGGCTTCTCTCTAGTTGTGGCACATGGGCTCCAGAGTGCACAGATTCAGTAGCTGTGGCATGCAGGATTAGTTGCCCCACGGCATGTGGGATCTTAGTTCCCCGACCAGGGATCGAACCCACGTCCCCTGAACTGGAAGGCGATTCTTAACCACTGAACCACCAGCGAAGTACCGGGAAGGGTCTGTTTTGTTTTGTTTTGTTTTGTTTTAATAATGTATATATTTTTAAATTTTTATTTATTTATTTATTTTTGGCTGTGTTGGGTATTTGCTGCTGCGCGCGGTCCTTCTCTGGCTGTGGTGAGTGAGGGATACTCCTCTTTGCGGTGCGCTGGCTTCTCATTGCGGTGGCTTCTCTTTGTTGCAGAGCACGGGCTCTAGGCGCACGGGCTTCAGTAGTTGCGGCACATGGGCTCAGCAGCTGTGGCTCACGGGCTCCAGAGCACAGGCTCAGTAGCTGTGGCGCACGGGCCTAGTCACTCCACGGCATGTGGGATCTTCCCCGACCAGGGCTCGAACCCGTGTCCCCTGCACCAGCAGGTAGACTCCCAAACACTGTGCCACCAGGGAAGTCCGAGGGTCTGTTTGTTTTTTTTTAAAGGACATTAATGGTCTTCATCTTTTATTTATTTGTTTGTTTTTGGCCACGCCGTGCAACATGTGGGGTCTTAGTTCCCCGACCAGGTATCGAACCGTGCTCCCTTCAGTGGAAGCGCAGAGTCTTAACCATTGGACCACTGGGGAAGTCCCGAGGGTCTGTTTTTTAAAATCATTTTTATTAGTATTTTACAAAAACCGAAAGTTATCTTTATGGAACTTCTTTTTACTTTCTATTTTATTTATTTTCTTTTTCTTCTTCCTCCTCTTCCTCTTCTGTCAATATCTTTGGATTTATTTTATTGCCCTTTTAAAAATTTCTTTCTTCAGATGCTTTCCTCATTTCAACTTTTATTCTTTTCTTATATAAGCATTTAATGAACAAAGTTCCCATTTAACTACTGTTTTATTTGCAACCCACGGATTTTGGTATGCAGTAGTAGTATTATTGTTCATTTCCTGATATTTTTCATTTCTTTTACTATTTAGTCTCTCCAGTAATTTATTTGGAAGCATATTTTTAAATTTCCAATTGTATGACGTTTTTAAACTTATCTTTTTGTTAATGATTTCTAATTTAATGGCATTGTGGTTATAGAAAGTCTGAGTTTGAGACTTTTACGTTTGTTGAGACTTGTCTTATAGCCTAGTACAGGATCAGTTTTTATAAATGTTCTCTAAGTAATTGAAAAGAATGTGTATTTTCCATTTCTTGGTTGCAGAGTTCTACATTTTTTCATTAGAGCAAACTTGCTGATTACCCACATCTTCCCATCATTAAGGATTTTTTGTCTGCTTATTGTAATGTATTTTGATAGAGATATGTCACTTCTTTGTGCCTCACTTTCCTTGTCTGTAAAATGGGAACACAGAAGGAAACGATTGATGTGAGTGTTGGTTGAGATAATATGTACAAGATACTCAAAGCCATTTATGGCAGTGGCCAGTGATCATTACATTAACTATTGCAATGATAACGATGGAAGATTTGTCATTTTCTGTCCATTTTGCTCTTCCATTGTAAAGCTGTTTTATTAAAGAATAAAGTTTAGAATTGTAATGTCTTCAATGTGATTTAATTTTTCACTGATTTCCACAGTCATGCTTTATGCCTTGAAGTCTATTTTACCCAACATAAACCAGCCTTTTCTTTGGGTCAGCATTTGCCTGGCAAGTCTGTCCCATAGTTTTAGTCTATATGTTTCTTTGTTCCCAT